AAGAAAGTATTTCTGATATTTTGGGAAAAATGGATTGTTGGGAAGAGTGAAAAGCAGTGGTAAGTTGTCGAATGAGCACTTTGGGGTGAGATACAGAAGTGGTGGGTGGGTGGGGGGTGAGTAACAAAAGTCTCTATAGATGTGAGACAGAAGAGTTATGTGACTTAGAGGATCTAGCCCTAACCCCCTCCACAAGTAAAAGAGCAATAAATAGTTCAAAGGACTGCTTCGCTCTGCTCAGATTGCACTTTAAAAAGGCCTGTGGAATGGTAACATTAACTAAAAATATACAGATGCTGGGGCACCAACTCAGATCTACTGAGTCAGGATCTCAGATGGCAGGGCTCAGAATTTGCACACCTTCAAAGTTTTGTGGCTGATCCTAATGCTCAGCGGTGGTAGCAAAGACACAAAGAAGCAGGGTTGAAATGAACTCAAGCGAGTGGATCATTAAGTCTACTCAAGGAATAGGCTGGAGAAGGTCAGGGACAACTCTTTAAAAGAGTGAGCCTTGAGCTAATTCACGAAATATTGACTTTCAAGGTGGAAATGAAGACGTGGGACCCTGAGCCTGCTTCTTTGAGAGCCTAATGTTTAAGCCAGTGCATGACAGAGGTGCATGCAAGTCTGGGACTGGGGACTAGAGAGCTTCTCCAAAAAGTCGGACCAATGAGTGCAAAGACTGATTTGAAATAAGGTGTGAGGTAGTCCAGTAGAGGAAATGGAGGGAAGCCTATGTCCCAGGAGCACAGAGAGCAAGAAGAACAGATGGTTCTACACACAGGGCCAGGAAACTGCGCGTGAAGGGCCCTGACCACCATGCGAAGCCCTGGTCTTCACCATCAGATCTTCATGTTCCTAAGAAGAGATTAGAGGTAGGGGAAGGTACAAGCTGTTAAGATTGATTGTAGCACTCTCAGAAAGAAAAAGATGGAATCTTGCATTGATGGGGGAGGCAGTAGAAATGGAGAAAACTGGTTGAATTTGAAAGATATCAAAGAATTAATGTGGAGAACTCATCAAACAACCAGTTGAATTAGTGGAACAAAACCCAGCAACTATGTATGTGCATAGGTCGTGGCTTCCTTCCTGCTTTCATAAAACTGGGCTAAAAACAGAAAACTAAAAATTATCCACGTTAACCACATGTGCACATGCATGTGTGTAAGACGCATGAATATCTTCTGTTATTTGTATTAGACATATAAAACTCGGAAAACTGTCAATTATAAAATAAAGGAGTGCTATAAATACGATCGTCTAAATAACAATATTATGAAAAGTATTTTTAAAAGTCAAGGACTTGTGCAAGTATAAGTTTTTCAAGCGGAGGGGGTTCTACCAGTCTACGATATCCTGCAGAAATCAAGCTAGGCTGTGGCTGTATTTACTAAGGATCTAGAATATATAGTATGCTTAGTTTTTACTAAATATGATATAGCATTCTTCGCATGAGTTATGTTATTTCATCCTTACATTTTCCCTCTGGGATTAGAAAGATTTTACAGATGAAGAAACTACGCTCAAGAATGTTTGATTTGTTCGTCCGAGGCCGTATCATGCCCGGTTATATTTTACGATGCTTCATTTTATTTGAATCTGTATGATGTTAGCCAGCATATCTCATGGATACTATAAGCAAGATTTGCCTGCATCGTAAATCCAATACAAAGCCCTTGAAATGTTACATGCTGGAGATGGGTCAGTCCCAGGCAACTGAGGGAAGGGACACATGGGATATTCAGATTGATAACAAGGCAAAATTGAGGAAAAAAGATTTGTTGGGAAACACAAAGGGAATTTTCAGAGAACCGGAAAGAAAATGTTCTCAAACATCTTTGAAGGAAATGAGTAATTGGGGAGAAAATTCAATCATAGGAAGATGAGAGAATCAGTTCAAGTTGGGACTTAAAAGGCAATGAACATGCAGATCAAACCCGGATGGATTCTTTGAGTTTTTATCAGTGCCTTTTAAGGGGCAGTTAGCAGGGTTTCATGCACAGATCCGGATCTGAAGGTCTTATTGCTCTGGGGTGAAGGTTGTCAGGGCTTCTTTGGTCGGATCTGAAGGAAAGGTGAAGTCTTCTAACCTCTACAAAAAATAGCAGAGATTGTCTTGAAAAAGAAAAAAAAAAGACTTTCTTCTAATTCCATGGGCTGTAACTTATTTGCTGTAATAAGTAGAAGTGATGATTAGTAGGGAGGAAAAGGAGGAGAGTGGTGTTCAGTCTCTAATCCACCAGCTGGGAGTGCAAATAAATCACACAGATAGATTCAAACGGCTGGAGCACTGCAGTCAGAAATACGAAAGCAGCCACAGCAAAAAGAGTATTTGTGGGGTTGGTGGGGGCTGGGAGACATATATCTTCCCATACACTGTTAAAGTTTTAGAATTAGGAGCGATCATTCATCTATGCCCATGTCTGTCATTTTGCAGACGAGGTTTGCCAGGCTCAAGTGACTTGGCTTGGGATAAGTTCCCTTACTTACAAGAAGACAAACTATCCCACTGCTCAAAAACAATTGCCTGCTGCCCCTCTACATAAATATATACGTTCAGAATAACATGGCTTTAATGTTCTGGTTCTCCCAAATCTTGTCTCAAACTCTCTTTCTAATCTTATGCGTGCACCTTGCTCGTGCTCTTTGGACGAAGGAGACAAGCTGTCATGCACAGACGTCACAGCTTAATGGTTAAAACTGGCAACTCTGGGGCTTTGAAGTCCTGTGCCATGATTTCGTGATCTGTAAAGTAAGCATCATGGTAAAATTAATCCCGTAGGGTTACTAAGATGATCACAATAAGTCAGCACTTACATTTAACAACTAGAAACAAAGTATTAGCTTTTGCTACATTTTATTTTACTTTTGAACACCTCGAACACTGGTGACACCAAGCTGTGTAGCAACACTTGGTCTGTGCCAGTGAGTAGTTCCCAACTTAGTGAGGAAAACACATACAAACAGACATTCACAGCACAACAGAGCACGTGCTGTAATAGAAGCCCAGGTATAAACACGGGCCAGGGGGGGAAGAGCAGACGAGGGCTCAATGCAGGTTATGGTAAGACTCCTAGACAGAGGTAGCATTTGGGGGTAGCTCCTGTGCAGTGGGTAGGGCACTGGCCCCATATACTGAGGATGGCAGGTTGGAACCCTGCCCCTGCCAAACTGCAATAAAAAAATAGCTGTGCGTTGTGGCAGATGCCTGCAGTCCCAGTTACTCGGGAGGCTGAGGCAAGAGGAGCTGGAGATTGCTATGAGCTGTGACGCCACAGCACTCTACCAGGGCGACAAAGTGAGACTCTGTCTCTAAAAAAAAAAAGAAGAAGAAGAACTAGCATTTTGCTGGAGGATGTAAAGTCAGGGAAGTGAGCCATGGGATAAGAAGATTCCAGAAAATGAGAATGGACTGTGGGAAAGCACAGACTCAACGAGGCAGGGCATCCAGATAGATAACAGTAGCATATTCGACATAGCCGGAGTCTGACACAGCAACGACAGATGGGGCGATGTAGGTGTCTACTTAGTGTAAGGCCTTGTGGGTTAATCTAGCAGCTCAGAGTTTCCCTCCCTTTAAGCAGCTGTAGGGTCTGCAGCGGGGAAGGACAGACTCGGATGGGTTTCATGGAGAGGTCACGGTGGCTGCGTTTCCAGCACTTTCTCTCCGTGTGTAAATTACATTTCTGCTAACATTCACTGGGGGATTTTCAAGAGCACCCTCCTTATATCAGCATTGTTTCCTTGGCTAGTAGGAAAGAATGTACATTGTCAGAGTGTTGCATAAAGGATCAGATACTCTAATATATGTTTGTGTGTAGGTGTATTAATATTACAGAGTACACAAACTATTACATGAAAAATTGGAGTTTAAATGACCTCATTTTTAATTTATTCTTTGAAGGTCTGACAGCAGCAGCCGCAGCAGCTGCCGCGGCCACCAATGCAGCTATTGCTGAAGCAATGAAGGTGAAAAAAATCAAATTAGAAGCTATGAGCAACTATCATGCCAGTAATAACCAACACGGAGCAGACTCTGAAAACGGGGACATGAATTCAAGTGTCGGTAAGTTTTATGTCCTCTGAAACGTTCTGCGATCACTTTGCTACTGAAGGATAGTACTTGCTTTTCCAGAACAAAACTGTGGCTCTTCATCCTACAAGTTAGTATTTTTGCTTCCGAACCACACTATTCTGAAGATAACCATTTTGTCTCTCTAACATGCCCCGTAAATGAATAATTACTCTTCATAGGATCAACTTTCTGGCTACACCTTCTACTTTAAGCATTCAATTAACACCTTTCATAATACAAATAAGTTTCAATCACCAGAATTCTAACTATTGAATATAACTAGGGTGATAGAAAAATATGTGCAAATAAAACCCAATGTCTGATTTTTATTCCTTTAATGCATTTATCAAGTTAGAAATTCACTGTCCTTGTCAGTGTAACAGACTTACTCTTTTCGTAGGCTGCCAAGAATGAGGATTATGCTAATGCTTAATTCTTCCCATACGTAACCATTATCAATGTCTCTCTCATCTTAAAAGTACAACTTTAATTTTCCTGATTTTTTTCTTTCTTGCTCTGTGAAGAAAGAGAGATGAAAAGTTAACTGTTATGCTCAAACTGAAGGCAACGGGGTTACCTTTGCCAAATGTCCATTTGAGTAATTTGTTTTGTGAAACATAACTTCACATGTGGGTAGGTTTTTCATTAGTGAAATCTTTAGCTTTTGTGTTTTGGTGACGTAAAACATTTTATTCTCCTTCGATCCTGTATTTCTTCTCCCTAAAATGCAGAAACCATGCTCAAAATAGAATTTTTCAACAGAAGTTTGGATATTGCAAGATGTGCAAAACATACCATATCCAACTTACGTTCATGAAGGACACGGTCACTCGTGGGTGTTCAGTCTCTTCCAGGTAGCACTTGAGCACATTGTTTCTTAGGTTATTCAGCAGCTCTCCACTTGCAGTCTGTGAAGGGTATAGAAAGGAATGATACGGATTTTAGTAATAGTCATTTTCAAAACAGTTCCCTGGAAACATACACTAGACATAAATGTTAGAGTTGGAAGTAATTTTACAATTTTTTGTTTGTTTGTTTTGTTTTGTTCTGTTTTTTGGCCGGGGCTGGGTTTGAACCTACCACCTCCGGCATAGGGGGCCAGCGCCTTACTCCTTTGAGCCACAGGCGTTGCCCTGAGTTGGAAGTAATTTTGAAATAGACACACAAAACACAAAATACCACTAGCTCAGTGATAGTAAAGGGCAGCTTTTAATGTCAAAAGAGAAAAATAGAACTTTACAGTGCAAGTAGGAGGTTGGACAGATAAGTTCACAAACTCGTCCTGGTAAAAGTGCTCCAGGCCTCATTGCTGACCAGTCCCGACAGTCACACTTAAAGAACTCCCCTAGGGAAGCTAGGCTCTGGGGTCAGCACCTAGTCCACCCTCCAGGGCACATTTTCTAGGATGATTTTGTGAACTTAATTACAGACCTGTACATAAGAGACAAAGACCAAAAGCCATGGGTGACAGAACTGGGAGTAGGTGGTGCCAGCAAGTCTCAGAAAGGTGAAAAGACATGGAGGAAAACCAAAAAAAGGTGACCCTAAGCTGGAAAGGACTTAGTAAACTAAGAGCGCTTGGATTTGTAACTGCCCCTGGGGAGGGCAGTGAGGGCAGAGGGTGGTTTAAGTCATGGTTCATACATACAAGTTCAGACTTTTAAAAGTTAAAATGGTATCGAAGTGAACTGAAGGAATTATCGTTTTATCTGTGGAACTATTAAGTATAATTACTTAAAAATGAAAGCCCTTTGCTTTGGCTTATAAAATAAGGCAACATTAAATACTTTCAGAAAACAAGGAATGAGCCACTATAAATCATAGCCATCGTTCCAAAACATAATTTGGATTGTTTCCAGAATTTTAGAAGCGCAAGTCTTGAATGCAGGCTGTTCTTGATAGTCGGGATTATGAGGAGGGATTCTTAAAATAGGCAGTTTAATAAAACTTAATTTTAAACATAGTACCTCTATTTGAATTTTTTTGAGAAGTAAAGCAGAAATTGACTTTGGAGAAATCAGCAAGCAAAAGATGAGAAGAACATAACTTTTCGTTAAGTATCACGTGTATTTAATACTTGACAGTATGCAATAACATTGGTCTACGGACCAAGTTGTAGCTTGCTTTAAGTATTTTGTACAGAGGCTATGACAATGGCTTAAAAGGGAAATAATCTAAGTTTTCTTTTGTATCTTAGTTGGAAGAAATGACTTTTATTAACCATGGTATTTAGTTTTTTTGGGTTTTCCTTTTACTGCTTTGTACTTTGATGCCATCAATGCCAACCTGAACCAGAAGCAAAATTTACTTGCATTTTCCGGGAAGGTCGTATTACTTCGACATTGTGTTAATCCGGTGCCATTAGATATCTTCAGTTGATTTGGGCCAAAGAAATGTCATCCTTGTCGTTTTCATTCTATTCTCACTGCTTCTGTCCTCTCAGAAGTTTTGATTTATGATGTTATTCTTCCTGAGCACCTCAGCCCCACGCCAGGTATTTGTTTAGAGATCCAGGAAAGCGAGTTTAGGGAGCAGTGAGACGGCTTGGGAAGGGAAGAGAACAATGGGGAAGGTAGGGCTGAGTTTTCACAGATCAAAGCAATCGCCTAATTGTAGCTTTATATGGTCCTGGTCTTCTCTGGTTCTGGGGACAATGCCTGCTTCCTGGTAAGTGTTCAACAGCTCTGTGACTTTAAAAAGTTCTGTAAACTTCTGAGCCTAATGTTCCACATCTGGAAAATGGTATCAATAATACTATCTACAAGGTGAGAATGAAAATGTTTGTCCTGTGTTGATTACATTATTTAGTACCATGTCTTCTTTTAACATTGTTTAGTTATCAGTAATATTCATAAGGGTTTTTTTTGCTATTATTATTATTACTATTTCTCAAAATTTCCTTCCTGAAAATTACCTTTTCCCTCTTTCTACAGCTGTCAACTGCTTCCTCCTCGTTTTTTCCTATTTTTACTCTTTGTAAAGCAGCAGCCCTGTGAAGAAATTTCAGGGCAGGCGTTGGATCATTTCATTTGGATTTTGTTATGCATTTGATTTTAGTTCATTCTAGGAATACCAGCTAGCCACAGCACAGGTGTAGTACTGAAGGAGCATCCAGTGTATGGGTGAGGTGGTTAAGTAAGCAGATACGACGCGCTGAATCTTCCAGGGTAATCGGCTACCGTCAAGTGGTCAGAAAGTGGTGTTGAAGCATGTGAATTCTAGAAGGAATCCCAAGAATCTTCAAGGCCTATATTTCAGCATACAAACCGCTCTCATGAATCTATCAATTGGCTCTTAGAAGCAGTGAAACCCTTCAGAGAGGTGCTACTTAAATGATGTATTGTTGTTACTCAGTCTTGCCCAAATCCAGTGACATTTTTGAGGCCAATTCAGGGATCGTTTTCCCTCTCGTACTCATCTGGCTCACTTTAAATATTTCAGGCTTTCCTTTATAGGAGCAGTGATTGTTTTTTTCCTTAGCTGTAAATAAATCCTATAGCTCCCAAACATAGATTTTGTTTTTGCTTGGTTTGGTTTGATTTGGCTTGGTGAGGTGACGGGATAATTTCATCATAGATGACCCTTTCCGGCTTATAATATGAATCTTCAAAATTAGCCAGAAAGGGTGTTTAAAGAAACCTTTGACTCTGACAAATTAATTATTTCATATCCTGGTTTTACATGGTAACCTTGAGCTCAGATCTTTGCAACAGAATGATCACTTTGGAAGAAGTGAGGACCTCAGGGTAAAGCCGTGTGAGGCATCAGCACACTGAGTAAAATATATGGCCATGTCGCCATTCTCCCTCATCCACAATCAATTGGATTCTTTTAGTTTAATATTTACTTGCTAAGATGAGATGCTAGTCTGCATGGTGATAAACAGTCTGCTCCTGGCATCTGAAGGTGACCTGTCAGTTCATATGGACAAATCTCCTGCTTACTGAAATGTACAAAATAAATCATTAAAGCAGGCAGGTGCTCATTCCCAGATTTAAATCACCATAGATTTATGATTTGAATTAATGCTTCATTTGGCCATAGAAATAGATGCTGAGACAAATGATATGCACTGGTTGGGGTTTCCATACTGTAGCCATCCTGATATTGATTACTGAGATGTCTTTGCAATCTCTTGTTTATATCAAGTACTATCTTGTGACAGGTTGGCTGATATGAGCTACATTGCAGATAAGAAGGAAAAATGTCCTGGATTCTTTTTAGTGGCAACACTGTCCACAACATACAGGCTAGATAAATTGCTATTTTTTTGCTTTAAAGACTGATCTACATAACCAGCTTAAAAAATGCTGCTTGGAAATTGGGAGTAGGATATTGCAAACGCAAAATTTAAAACCGGTGAACCCAAGGTCAATTTGATAGTATCTATAGCTATGTTTTTATCTGTTTATCTTTTTTTTTTTGGCATTACACACACATTTGAGGATACTAAATTAATCATAATCAGCTTAATCTAAATAAAGGAAACTTAATTTTACTTCTAGTTTTTAAATGCTATGTAAATATTGACAGAGAGAGCATCTCTTAATAGTTTCTGTGTTATTTAAATACTTGCTAAACCTAGTATCTTACTCCCTTCACTAATGACAACAAAGGAAATAACTCTTTAAAGATAAATACATTAAATATTATTCCCAAGTGCAAAATTTTGTGGACTGCAATTTACCAAGAGGCAGGAAAGGGCTGCCTTCGTACTTCTCTTAACATTTTATTTAAGGAAAACACTATGTATACAGTTTAAAAAATACTCGGAGGATTTAAGAGGGACCTTTGCCACTGGCTAATATCTGACTCATAGAACTGGTAAACAGCTATCAACAATAGTAGATGGCTTGCTTAGTAGGAAATGAGTTCATATCTATTCAAAATGTGATTTCAAAACAGATGTCCCAAGAAAATCTCATTGTTTAAACTATAGTCATAACCTCCCAATGGCTGTTATTTCTTTAAGGAAGTGAAGTAGTCTTAAG